GACAAAAGCAGAAAATCCTCTGGAACAAAATTTAATATAAAATGTTTTTGCCTTCAGCTGACAGCAGAGAAGAAGGTAGACCGACGACTGCTTCCTCCAAAGAAGATGTTGGGGAAGAACTCGAAGAGTCTGGTGGAGCGGCGGCAGAAGGAGCTGGAGCTCTACCTGCAGACGCTGCTGCAGCAGTTCCCACAGGCCACGCCCACTCCGCTCGCCGGCTTCCTGCACTTTCACCTCTACGTAAGATCACGTCCTCTACATGTGTACAGTCACCTGTTTAGATGGTTCTAGTATTAACCTGATAGTCCTGAGTCTGCTGGTACTTCACATATAATAAAACAATAAATAAAATAAGTAAAATAGTTTGGGTTTTTCTGTCCAGTAGAGGTTGAAAAGTGCTGCTTCAGGCGAGTGTTAGCAGTAATTTAAGGCTTTGTGGTGTCAGTGACCTTTTTACTCTGACTGTCTGCCGTCACACTGGCTTCTTTTCACACTGAACCAAACAACGCCGACATGACGCCGCCTCAGTGTGTGATTTATTTATTTTGTTAGACAGCATGCTGGTGTTCTGGAAGCAAAAGAGTACCTGTACTTTGTTTCCCACTGATAGTACTGACAGTAATTACTGATAATAATCCCTCAACATTGGAGGAGCTGATAGCGACGCAGTTAGGAAACATCGAAGGGGAACTTTACTTTGGTCGTGAGAAGCTGCAGCTTTTATTCACTGATAAACTGTAACTACAACTACAAGTGACAACTTCACTGCTGCTACAATGACCGCCCGTTACGTCTTTGTACATTTTATGCAGAACGGCGAGGCGGAATAATGGCTCAACACTCCCGCCTTGAACACGCTGTGTAAAAGGGGCTACTGTGATCACATGGTGATCTCAGTACAATAACAGACCAGTGTTGTCTGAGTCCTCAGGGCTCTGCAGAGTAAACAGCCGATAGAAAAACCTTCGATGTGACCTAGAACGATGAACATATGACCGTCACGGACAAGTTTAAATGATCACAGAAAGCAGTTTTATTATCATGCAGCTGCGTTGATGCTGCATTAACACATAACAACTGTGTAATGTAACTGAATCTGTGATGAGGTCGTGTGACTAACTCAGACTGACTTTATATTATCCAGCTAAAATTATCCAGTTAACTCTCAACCCACTAACTCACCTTGACAAAAACACTTTTAAAGAAAGGGAACATTGAACATCAGTCTGTCTGCTGAACACAAGATTTAACTAGTTTACTAACTTAACCGTTTGTTATTTTATAGTTTTTATTAAACTCTTTTCCTCTTTCAGGAGATCAACGGTATCACAGCAGCACTGGCTGAGGAGTTGTTCCATAAAGGTTTGTTTCCTTTCTGACCTTTGACCTCTTTTCTCTCATCTAGTGTTTCTACAACTGTGTTAACATTTAATGACACTCCTTCAGTGCAGTGGTGTGTTTCCACTCAGTGTGGCTGCACAGGCTTTCTCCCTGGAGTCATCAGTACTTATATTTATCTGTTTCGATAACAAACATTGAGTCAGAAGGCTCAGAATTTACTGTATTACTTTATTTATCAGAGAAAATACACATTAATTAACATTTTAAGGATGTAAACATGGCAGATTTAGTCAGATGTCTGGTTGTCATCCACAGTGATTACAGTGACTCTTTGATTGCACAATGACAGGATGTGAAACATGATGACATCCATTGAAGACTTTTTAGTTTCAGTTTTATATATTTATACAAAATATTTAAATACCAGTTTTAATATCATATGATCTGTTGCAGCTGCATCAATCCAGTTTCCTCAAGAATTATTTAAGTTAAATCTAATGTTTTTACACCCGAATATAACTATGCTTAATCAAAGTTTTCGGTATCAGACAGCTGTGTGTTTGTGTGTTGTAGGTGAGCAGTTGCTGCAGGCTGGCGAGGTGTTTTCTCTACGTCCTCTGCAGCTTTACTCCGTCTCCCAGCAGCTTCGTCTGGCCAAACCGACCTGCTGTAACGGAGACGCCAAGACGGACCTGGGACACATCCTCGACTTCACCTGCAGGCTGCGATACCTCAAGGTCTCTTTATTCGTCTCACGTACGCCAGGGTACAGTGTGGTGTTGTGTCCCTTCTGAGGAGCAGAGTTGGTGAATTATCTCACTTGTTTTTGTCTCTGTTGGTCAGATGTCTGGTACCAGAGGTCCAGTAGGAACCAGTAACATCCAGGAGAGCAGTCTCCCTTTCGACCTGTCTGTTTTCAAATCGCTTCTGCAGATAGAGGTAACTGTCTGTCTGTGTCTCTGTCTGTCTCTCCTCTAAATACTCCTGTCTGTATATCTTTTGACTCATTAATGTCAAACACAAACCTCAACCTAATCTTCAATTGGAAGCAAATGTCTCGACTGTGGTTCAGTAATCATTCTAAACCGGAAAATTAGTTCTATTTTAAAGGCACTTATCGTACACTCGGCCTCGGGGTAAGTGTCTTTGTTTTTTATAACTAAATGAGATTTCAGCTAAGATATCCTGAAATAATGTCTGTGTTTAACACAAACTTAAGAGATTTACACATTACGTGTCGCTAACAAGACTACGGAGGTTGTCGGTGACATTAAACGTCAGCACTTATCTGCTAGTTTGCCTTCACAGCCTCGTTGTGTTTAATCATGCACTCTTGCAAGCAACTGTTAAACTAACTTAAACTTTGATGAAATGATGCAACCGTGATGTAGTTTGTTTATAGCCAAACGTTAGCGTTTTACTTCTGAAAATATTTATAAATAAATATTTATTTATTTATGATAAAAGTATCATAAACCTTTCTCTGCCACAATCTGGTTCAATGTTTCTGACATAAGCTGCATTATGGATGAGAGAGCTGGAGGTCACTGCCTGTATCTCCTGTTTGCATTTGTATAAAATGTTTCTCCTCTTGACTGAGTTGGAGAAATTGGTGAATAGATAAAGAGATGTGATGACACGTGAAAGGCTGATGCAAGCAGACTTTTATCTTCTCCGGCTTTTCATCATTTCAGACTTTAATCAGTGAACACTGACGTTGGAGTTACTGCTTCACCTGCTGCAGACAGAGTACCTGTGTGCCTCGTCATTAAAGAGAACAAAGAACAAACCAGTGCAGCAGTACTGATAGGAACACACTTACAAAGATTTTATTTTTGGCTTTCAGAAAGTCACTTAAAAACTGAAAAAAATTGAATAACAACTGTGTCTGTCTGTCTGTCTTCAGATCAGTGAGTGCAGCTCTCAGCAGATACAAGGTCTGTCGTCTCTGAGGTCGAGTCTGGCAACTCTGAGTATGCACCACTCCACAGAAACTATGATGGTACAGTTTAGACTAATCTGCTCTCTATTATACATGTTTTATGCGGTGTCTTATATGTTGTGTACTCATGTGTTTACTGTTTTATCTCTGGCGGCCTTCAGTCGATCTTGGTCCCGGAGGCGAGCGAGTTCTCACAGTGGGAGGCCGAGGGGGCGGAGTCTGGCTGTCCCGTCACAGCCGTCATTCCTGTGTGGAGAAACCTGACCACGTTGGACATGAGCCACAACAGCATCAGCACCATCGACAACTCAGTGGTGAGACACGCCCACCAAACCTAAACACAGTGTTTAAAAGTCAGTATGTTATTTTATGTTTTCCTCCACAGTGACAATAAAGGAAGAAATGCTCGCTTACCCTGGTCTGTTTGTCTGGTTTCACACAATATCTCAGATGTCATTTATCAGGTTTTCTTTTAAATAATATATTGGTTTTGACAACCAACATAACAAGAAACAGAAATCCTAATCCCAAAAAATGAATACAAATTTCAAGACAAGGCAGAGAGCAGAAAAGAAAACATCTGATATTGATGATTTCTTGGAATGCTTTACATCACCTCTCTGTTTTAAGCAGAGAGGAAAATCTTGGAAAAGTTGCTCGAAAATACATCTGAAAAAGCTGTTTTATTTATAGAAAAAGTGATTAAATAATGATGCTAAGTTCACCGTATTTACTTACACTTACTGGAGTAATTAGGAACATTTGATGAAGCAAGTCGGTAATACAGTCTTAGTTATCTTCTGGAACATACAAAGCAGTTGTGTCAGGTAATTAATTTCTGATTTTGCTTGTGATGGTTCAATTAAAGATACATGTATAAAAAATACTCATTGGAAGTATGCGCTGGCTCTTCTGTCTGCTTTGATCAGCTAGCTGTTGTATCAGGAGGTCAGATCACACTGTCCTTGAAATCACCTTCTCTGTCTTTACACAGAAAGAGCCTGGTATCAGTTTCTATCTGTTCACACTGAGTTTGTCTCTGTTGTAGAAACTGATTCCTAAGGTGGAGTTTCTGGATCTGAGCTACAACCAGCTGTCCACAGTGGAAAACCTCCAGGTATGTGACAGCATGGCGAAGAATACAGCAGCTCTGTCAGGACAGGATTACTTTTTAGATTAGTCAATGAATCAGTTGAAAGTCCAGTTTTCCAAAATCCCAATGTCAGACAAACACGTGTCATATGTTAGGTACTGTTCTGTCTATTGTAGGTCTCTAACTTTCTATAACTAGTCAGTATTTACAAGAATGATGCACAGGAAGAAACAAGTTGATTACAGTCGACCTAGTTCTGTTGTCGTGTCGGCACAGATGGACAAACTAAACAAACTGGGGAGTTTAATGTGAACCAATGCTGACTGTACACTCAAACTTAGGATCGAAAGGCAGGTGGTGCTTACAGGTGCGGTTAGACACCCTCATAGATGCGTAGTTTGTCATTAACACTAATACTGAAGTAATTGTCCTGTGGTTGCAGCATCTGTACAATCTGGTCCACGTGGATCTGTCCTATAACAGCCTGCGGGTGCTGGAAGCTGCTCACACCCGTCTGGGCAACATCAAAACCCTGAGTCTGGCTGGCAACCAGCTGGACCAACTGACCGGTCTCACCAAGCTGTACTCTCTGGTCAACCTGGACCTCAGCCACAACCAGCTGGCCCAGGTAATCACACTGTGGACATCCTGATGGTCTACTGGTCAAAGTGACAGAGGGAAAGTCTTTCTTTTTCTACTTTATTGGAAGAGAGCAAAACATTTTTCAACATTATTATTCATTTATCTCTTACAAAAGGTATTTAATATGCAATTACCAAAAAAGGAAATACTTAATTTATTGAAATTACCCACCTGTAGATTATAATCGTGGCTATCTGATGATGAAGATGGGATCTTTTTCTATCTTCACTTTCTCTCCACTGTTGACTCTCCAATGCACACAAAAACAACTTAAAAACAACAAGGAGTCAGCAGAGGTTGATTTGGGTTGTTTGTGACTTGTGTGTGTGTGTGTGT